AGGAAGTGGCTGATATCAACAAATCCTACCGGTGGCTAGAGAGGGCTAGACTGACAGAGAGCACAGAGGCACTAATCATGGCAGCACAAGAGCATTACAGGTCAGGGTCTACCAGACAAGACCTAAGATGCAGGCTGTGTAAAGATGTCCCTGAGACAATCCAATGCATAATAGTAGGATGTAAGATCCAGGCAGGCAAATCATATATAGCGCTCCATAAGCAAGTGGTTGGAATAGTGTACAGGAAGATCTGTGCCAAGTATGGACTGGAGATCCCATAATCAAAGTGGGAGACTCCACCAAAGGTGGTGGAGAATGTAAGGGATAAGATATTGTGGGACTTCCAGTCCGACGAACAGGTGATGGCTAACCAGCCAAACATTGTAGTGGTTAACAAGCAAGAGAAGAAGGCAGTCATGTTAGATGTAATGATCCCAAGTGACTATAACATCAGGAAGAAGTACAAGAAGCTCAAGAAATACCAAGGGTTTAAAGATAAATTAAAGATGTTGTGGAGAGTCTAAGCATCAACAGTCCCAGTGGTCAATGAAGCACTTTGGGCTGTGACCCCCAAACTCGAAGAGTTGCTCCAACAGATCCTAGGAACAAACTGAGAGCTCACTGACCAGATGAGCACAATCCCAGGAACAACTACTGTGCATTGCCCTCAATCACCCAGGCTTCTGGTAGAGGACCCACATTTGAAGTGAAATGAAAAAGTAGATCGAGTTAGATTTTTTGTTTGTTTGTTTTTGTTTTTGTTTTTGTTTTTTTTTAATAATGGAATGATTATACAACATACAACTTGATTGATTTTTAAAAGCAAAAATTGGGTGCACAAGTTTACAGTTTTTTGTGGGTTTCCTTCAATTCAATTTAATTCAGTTCAGTTTATTTATATAGTGCCAAGTCACAATACAAGTCGTCTTAGGGCACTGAACAGAAACATTCATATTTTTATAAAAAATAAGTTAACACTATTTATCTGAGGAGCAGACTGCTTTGAATTTAACTCCATTGCAGAACACTCATCTTGAGCAAGTGTGAAGGCAACAGTGGAAACTAAAAACTCCCTCATGAGGAAGAACCTTTTAGCAGAACCAGGCTCAGGACAAGCGGCCATCTGCTTCGACTGGCTGGGTTTGATAGGAACATAGATAGGAAAATTTGCAGATGATACTACTGTTCTGGGACTCATCTCTGGAGATGAAGAGACAGCCTACCGGGACGAGGTGGAACGTCTGTCACTGGGTATGTTTACATGGACATAAGTAACCGGATCAAATGGCCGGTCGGAATAAAAGTGTGTCATGTAAACACTCTGTTCGGGTTATTTTTTGTGTATTCGGCGCAATCCGATATAATTTGTGGTCAGAACGAAACGGGTGGTTTACGCCGATCCGTAACCCGATCGGTGTGCATGTAAACGCTTGATCTGCTTGTTTTTATCTGATCGTGAAAAACTGACCTAACTGCACATGTGCGACTTTGCCATTTCCGCCTGGCTAATGCTAATAATATTAGCATGTCAGGGAAGCAAAACTGATCGGTGAGCGACACATTTCTACTAGAAACTTTGAAAGAGCTCAAAATGATATGTATTACCTGTAGCTCAGTCAGGGAGTGCAGTAACATCTCCACCATCATTAAAACCTGTCGCGGGTCCATTTTGGGTGCTCAGATTTGTTTACGTTCACCCGGAAGTAGAACTTCTTCTTCTGTGTTTTTTTTTAAGGAGAGTTTACCACTCTGCACGTCAGTACTGCTGTTCAGAACAAAGCCCGCTGCATGTAAACGCTCGTCATGAACAGATTGTGCCAATGTAAACAATACATTTGAATTATTCAATCAGAACACATTTCAATCCGGTCAAAGAATTCTGTGCATGTAAACATTGTAAATGTGGTGCAAAGACAACAATCTACATCTGAATAAATCAAAGACAAAGGAGCCAGTCATTGATTTTAGAAAGATGAGAAAGGACATTCAACCCATAACTATCAATGGGGACTGTGTGGAAAGGGTTACAGACTTTTGCTTTCTGGGTATTCATATCGAGGAGGATCTAACCTGGGGTGTGAACATCAAGGAAGTAAAAAAAAAAAGGCACAGCAGAGACTCTACTTCCTGAGGATTCTCAGGAAAAACATTAATCAGAGACTGCTGGTGTCCTTCTACCATTCCACCATAGAGAGCATCCTCACTCACGGTCTCTGTGTGTGGTTCTCTAGCTGCACTGCAGCACACAAAAAAGAACTACAGAGGATTGTGAGGCTGGCAGAAAAAATAATTGGGTGCTCTCTACCCACCCTGAAGGATCTGCACAGCTCTCGTTGTCTTCAGAGAGCTCACAAAATTGTCATGGACAATTCCCACCCAGGTCACCATCTCTTTGAGTTATTACCGTCAGGCAGATGGTACAGAACCATTAAAACAAGGACCAACCAGCTCAGAAATAGCTTTTACCCGACAGCAGTTCAGGCACTAAATAACCTTTTATAAACTCTGTTTTTATACCCATTTTAAATAGAACACGGGACCGTGTCTTTTATCATTTTTTAATTTGTAATTTTTTTTTTTTAATTTAGTTTTAATTTTTTGTTTTGTCTGTAGCACCACAAATTGGGGTGGGCATCTTAATTTCGTTATACCTGGTATAGTGACAATAAAGATATTCTGATTCTGAAAGAGGAACAGATACACAATGGCAGGTTGAGAATCACGTGTTAAGATAGAAATAGTATCAAATGAAAACTATTCAATTTTAACAATTAATTTAGGGAAATGAGGTCAATTTGTCCTCTAGTAGTCTAAGCTTGGCAGCAAATCAAGCCAACCCTAACTATAGAATTTATAAAAAAGGAAAGTCTTAAGTCCAGTCTTAAAACTGGACAATGTGTCAACCTCATGGACAGAAACTGGAAGTTGGTTCCACAAGAGAGGAGCCTGATAACTGAAAGATCTTCCTCCCATTCTGCTTTTGGAAACTCTAGGAACCACAAGTAAGCCTGCCGTCTGAGAGCGAAGTGCTCTATTAGGAAAATATGGAACAATAAGATCTCAAATATAAGCTGGAGATAGGTTGTTGTGAGCTTTGTAGGTTAGAAGTAAGATTTTGAATTCAATTCGGGATTTGACAGGGAGCCAGTTGAGAGAAGCTAAAACTGGAGAGATATGATTTCTCCTCCAGTTAAGACTCTGGCAGCAGCATTTTGGATTAACTGAAGACATTTTAAAGAAGTATTTGGACACCCAGATAACAAACCATTGCAATAGTCCAGTCTAGATGTGACAAATGCATGAACCAGTTTTTCTGCATCATTTTTAGATAAGATGTTTATAATTTTAGCGATAATACACAGGTGAAAGAAGGCAGTTCTAGTAACGTTTTTAATGTGGGGGATAAAAGACATGTCCTGATCAAAAATAACACCAAAATTTTTAACATTAGAGCTGGAAGCCAGATTAACGCCATCTAAGGAGGGTGAAAGACTGAAAATTTAATTCCTAAGATGCTCAGGTCCAAAAACTAAAACCTCAGTCTTTTCTGTGTTCAAAAGCAGAACATTTACGGTCATCCAGGTTTTTATGTCTTTAAGACATAACTGGTAAAGACCAGTACAAAAGAAAGTTAAATCTTGGATCCAGAATAGTGGCCCCATACTAAAACATTTTTTTGAACAAACGGGAGGTCTTCACAGAAGCTGCTGAATTGGGGATGTGTGTGTGTGTTGGTGGTGGGGGGGGGGGGGGGGGGGGGGGGGGTAGTAGACCTGGATCAATACACATCTTCAGTTTTGGGATACATTAGTAAATGTGCTGATGATGTCACCACCACCAGATATGTTAAGAGCTACCCAAACAGGAAGCCTTGGCTGAATACAGAGGTTCGTAACCTGCTGGAAGCCAGGACCACTGCTTTCAGGTCTGGAAACTCACAGGAGCTGAGAAGGACAAGGAAAGAGCTGGTTGTTGGTATTAAGAAGGCCAAGGGCACATATGCACAGAGGATCGAGGGTCAATTCACCTCACAAAACCCACGGAGCATGTGGAGGGGCATTAAATGCATAACAGATTATAAAAACAGCAGTGAACATTGTCCTAGAGACCCATCACTGCCTGATGCCCTCAACAGGTTCTACGCACGCTTTAAAGACCCAAACAGACCACCCAGCACCAGACTCACCTCACCACCGGACAAGAGCTTCTCAGCGTTACTTCATTCGAAGTGAGGAGTACTTTCAAGAGGATTAACCCTCACATATCAACCAGCCCAGACAAAATCCCCAGGAAGGTGGTGAAAGAATGTGTCGACAAGCTCTGCGATGTGATGGCCGACATATTTAACTCTTCACTTACCCAGGCAACAGTACCCACCAGCCTGAAAACTGCCACCGTCATCCCAGTCCCAAAGAGTTCTACAGTGACTGGTCTGAATGAATACAGGCCAGTGGCCCTCACCCCCGACAGTTGCTAAATGCTTCGAAATTCTGGTTATGACTCACATCAAAGCAACCATCAACATCAACGAGGACCCTCACCAGTACACACACCGTGAGAATCGATCTACAGAGGATACCATCTCCTCTGTGGTCCACATTGCTCTCACCCACCTGGAGCAGAAGGACTCCTACCGCCGTACGCTCTTTGTGGACTTCACGTCTGCCTTCAATACCATGATCCCCCAAACCCTGACAAACTACTCACACTAGGACTAAGCCCCTCCATTTGCAACTGGGTCCTAGACTTCTTAACAAACAGACCGCAGTCAGTGAGGAGCCACAAATTCTCCTCCTCCACCATAATCCTCAGCACTGGCTCCCTCAGGGATGTGTGCTGAGCCCTCTCCTGTTCACTCTGCTCACGTTTGACTGTGCACGTACCCATCCAGTCTGTCACAGTTTAAAGTTTGCAGATGATACAGCGGTGGTGAGATGAATCACAAACAATGAAGACTCCAGCTACAGGCAGGAGGTGGAACACCTGGAGAGATGGTGCAAGGAGAATAACCTTCACATCAATGTGAAGAAGATGAAGGAGATTATCATGGACTTCCGAAGGTACAAAACCACCACCCCCCACCCCCGAATATAGGAGGATCTGCAGTGGAAGTGGTCTCCAGCTACAAGTATTTGGGTGTGCACCTCAATGATAACATCAGCTGGGGTAAAAACACTACCAGCCTGATCAAGAAAGCTCATCAGAGACTATTTTTTCCTCAGGCGGCTGAGACGAGCTGGTTTGGGAAGCTCAGTCCTCACCTCCTTCTGTGTGCAATGGAGAGCATCCTGTGCTCCAGCATCATCGTGTGGCATGAAAGTTGCACAGCTGCAGAAAGAAAAGCTTTGCAGAGAGTGGTGAAGGCTGCACAGAAGTCTGTTGGAGTCAGCATCCCACCATCACAGACATCTACACCTCCAGATGTAGGAAGAGGGCCACCTGCATCATGAAGGACCCCACTCACCCAGCACACACACTTTTTGCCCCGCTCCCCTCAGGATGGAGGTTAAGTGCTGAAATCAGCCTACAAGGAAGGTTTTTCCCATTCTGGCTTCAGCTTTCTGGTTCTTGTCAGAGGACTATCAATATACAGTCTTTGTCCTATTCACAGATATTGTAGTGTGATTAAGGGTTAAAATACTTGTTCGGTGATCTAAAAAAGTTAAGTCTGGTCCCCTGGACATTCAAAAAACAAAACAAAGCAAAACAAAAAAAATGTAGAAACGTTTCGTCTTTCATCCGATTATCCATTGGTCCAGAGGACCAGACTTAACTTTTTTAGATTTTTCTATCTGGCCTATTGAGCATGCATCAGGATACTTGTTCAGTGACTTTTCATAGTATATGCTTAATTAGTAGTTTACAACTATAAGGCTATTTATTATTTTCAGTAATGGTATTGACTCACAGTTTTACTGTTACTTAAATTTTTTATAATCAACTTCAGTCAAATTTGTTTTATGCAAGGATTTTTTTCAATACTTATGTTTTGTGTACTGACAAAAACACAACCATTTAAGTTTAGGTTGTGTGTTGTTACTATAATTCACATTTGTCTAAACACCTGCATTGTAGGTCAAGAAACAACAGCTAATCAGCTAGCTTTCTGCGTCATGGAACTTGGACGACAGCCTGAAATTCTGGAGAAGTATGAGATAATAACCCAGTTGTTGTTAGTTTGGTATCTAGTTGGTGAAGAATGGTTTCTGAAGTGAGTTTTTACATTTCAGAGTGAGGAAAGAAGTGGATGATGTAATTGGAATGAAACAAAACGTTAGCTATGATGACCTCGGGAAACTAACCTACCTCTCACAGGTACATACCATAAAAAGGAAAATGTGTATTTAGTATCCTGACAATTAAATCAGGTCATTTTTCTCTTTGAACAAATTGATTTTACTCTGACCTTCAAGTTCAGAGTTCAATATGAACATGTTTATTGTTGTATAAGGAACGACTATCATAGTCCACCCATTGTAAACCTCCCACAGGTGCTAAAAGAGACACTGAGACTCTACTCAACTGCTCCAGGAACATCTCGTCAGATCGACAAAGACATGGTGATTGATGGTGTCCATATCCCTGGGGGAATTGGATGTATGGTGAGATTTGCACAAACTGATTGTCTGTTAAATATTATAGAATAATAGTGGCAGCAATCATGTATTGAACGGAATAAAACTCATTTCTAGGCCACTTAAAACATTTATTCATTCATTCATTATCTTTACCTGCTTCTTCATTTCCGGGTCCCGGGGGTCACTGACACCCATATCCAGTGGTCACTGTGCGAGAGACGGGGTACACCTAGGGACAATTCAGTTACCAGTTAGCCTAACATGCATGTTTTTGGTCTGTGGGAGGAAACTGGAGTACCCGGAGAAAACCCATACAGTCAGTGAGATTTTTACTTGCAATTACCATTTTTTTATATGCAGTTTGACTCCTATGTAACTGGGAGAATGGAGAAATTCTTCAAAGACCCACTGAAATTTGATCCAGACCGATTTCACCCAGACGCTCCCAAGTAAGTTAAACAAAATGTTTTCATGATGTCAGGTTTTAGTTTGTGTGACTTTAGAAGCCATTATTGTGAAAGATGAAAGAAAATAAACTCCTCTATTTGTTTGTTTTACCAGGACTTATTACAGCTATTTCCCATTTTCTCTTGGTCCACGCTCATGCCTGGGAAAGAACTTTGCTGAGGTGGGTGGGATACACACTACACCCATTACATACGATATGTACAGTGGTGCTTGAAAGTTTGTGAAGCCTTTATAATTTTCTATATTTCTGCATAAATATGACCTAAAACATCATCAGATTTTCACACAAGTCCTAAAAGTTCATAAAGAACCCAGTTAAACAAATGAAACAAAACTATTATACTTGGTCATTTATTTATTGAAGAAAATGATCCATTATTACATATTTGTGATGGTAAAAGTATGTGAACCTCTAGGATTAGTGGTTAATCTGAAGGTGAAATTAGAGTCTGGTGTTTTCAATCAATGGATGATGATCACGTGTGAGTGGTCACCCTGTTTGATTTAAAGAACAGGATCTATCAAAGTCTGATCTTCACAAGATGTTTGTGGAAGTGGATCATGGCAGGAACAAAGGAGATTTCTGAGGATCTCAGGAAAAGAGTTGTTGATGCTCATCAGGCTGAAAAATGTTACAAAACCATCTCTAAATAGTTTGGACTCCACCGATCCACAGTCAGACAGATTGTGTACAAATGCAGGAAATTCAAAACCATTGTTATCCTCCTCAGGAGTGATGGACCAACAAAGATCACTCCAAGAGCAAGGCATGGAATAGTCGACGAGGTCACAATGGATCCCAGGGTCTAAACAACTGAAGGCCTCTCTCACATTGACTGATGTTAATGTTCATGAGTTCACCATCAGGAGAACACTGAACAACAATGGTGTGCATGGAAGGATTGAAGGAGAAGCCACTGCTCTCCAAAAAGAACATTGCTGCTCGTCTGCAGTTTACTAAAGATCACGTGGACAAGCCAGAAGACTGTTGGAAGAATGTTTTGTGGACAGATGAGACCAAAATAGAAATTTTTGGTTTAAATTAAAAGAATTGTCTTTGGAGAAAGTAAAACTCTACATTCCTACATAAGAACCATATCCCATCTGTGAAACATGGTGGTGGTAGTATTATGGTTTGGGCCTGTTTCGCTGCATCTGGATCAGGACAGCCGTCACTGATGGAACAATGAGTTCTGAATTATATCAGATAATTCTAATGCATGTCCATGAATTGAATCTCAAGAGAAGGTGGATCACACAGCAAAACGATGACCCTCAGCACACAAGTCCTTCTACTAAAGAAAGGTTCAAGAAGAATACAGTTCATGATCTGGAATGACCAAGTCAAAGTCCTGACCTTAATTCAATCCAGATGTTGTGGAAGGAACTGAAGCAGCAGTTAATGTGAGGAAACCACTAACATCCCAAGTAGAAGCTGTTCTATACAGAGGAATGTGCTAAAATTCCTCCAAGCCGGTGTGTAGGACTGATCAACAGTTACTGGAAACATTCAGTTGCCATTATTGCTTCAAGGAATGTTGCCTGTCACTTAATCTGACCCAACTCATTGACTCTCCCACCAGACGGAACAAAAAAAATGTTCTGAAAACTTTTCCATCTTAGACCTATTTCTAACAAATATGCCTCACAAATTCCCTGGTATAGGTGTTTTTGCCGACATTTTAATAATAATAATAATAATGCATTTTATTTGTTAGCGCCTTTCAAGACACCCAAGGACACTTCACAACATTAAAAACACAAAATAAAACAATACGAAATGGCTTTAAAAACACTAAACCAAGAAGAAAATAACAAAAAATTAAAGTGAGAAGGCTAAGTTGAACAGATGAGTTTTGAGTTGTGATTTGAAAGTCTGAAGGGAATCAATATTACAGATGTCCGTGGGAAGAGCATTCCAGAGATGGGGAGCAGAGTGAGAAAAGACTCCGTGTCCCATGGTGCTGAGGCGGACGAGAGGCACGTTGAGGTGGATGCAAGAGGAAGAATGAAGGGAGCGTGAATGTGTAATGATGTGCAGGAGATCAGACAAATAGGGAGGGGCGAGGTTATGGATGGCCTTGAATGTGTACAGCAGGATTTTAAATTGAATTCTGAAAGTGACTGGAAGCCAGTGAAGTTGCTGTAAAACTGGGGTGATGTGGTGAAATGAAGGGGTTTGGTAACGATGAGGGCAGCTGAATTCTAAACCATTTGAAGCATACGGAGTAATTTTTGCGGCAGACCAAAAAGAAGAGAGTTACAGTAATCAATTCGAGAAATTACCAAACTATGGACCAAGATGGAAGCAGAGTGTGGGGAGAGGGATGGATGGAGACGGTTGATGTTTCGAAGGTGGAAGTACGCAGACCGGGTGATATTACTGATGTGAGAGTGAAAAGAGAGAGTGCTGTCAAGAATGACACCCAGACTCTTAATGTGAGGGGAGGGAGAAACCATGGAGCTGTCAATGGTGAGGGAAAAACTGTTGACTTTAGATATGGTGGATTTAGTGCCGATGAGTAGAAACTCTGTTTTATCACTGTTTAATTTAAGTAAGTTAGATGTAAACCAGGATTTAATTTCAGATAAGCAGAAAGTGAGGGAGGAAGGAGGAAGTGAAGAATTAGGTGCAGTGAATAAGGTTGTTTTCACACTAGATAGTCCGGTAGACTCGGTTCAGGACCACTATTCATGAGCTTTTGTTTACATTTGAGCTGGTGCGTTTGCATTCACACTGCACTGTGCAGTCGAGTCAACCTGTTGAACCAACCTATTCCCCCGCTCGCCTGTGGGGGCGCTGCACCAAGAACTACTGAAAAAAATGACACAAAAACCTCTGAAGACACGTCTTCTTCTTCTGTAAATAAAAATAAAAACGAAGTGGCATCAAGTTTTAGCAGTTTTAGGAGTTATATTTTGTCATTTTTCAAAAATGGACTTAGCATGAGCAGAAGATGAGACAGAAGATCATGGAGAATATTGTTTTTCACACAAGGCAGCTGATGGCTTCATATAAGGTCAGAGAAATGCGTGTTTGTTTACCCTGCGGAGCGGGGTCTGGTCTGTTTACATTCACATTGAACTCGAACCGCGCTGGAGTTCTCTTCTACCGGACCGAGACCTAGGTTTTAGCCCGGGCCAGAGTTCGCCTTTTTGTTCCGTGACAGAGTTCGATGGCGCGTTCACACCTCCCTAAACGAGCCGGACTTTCAAGGAAAACGAGCTAGAGTTCGATTAAAGCGGACTAAACAGGGCTGGTGTGAATGCACCCTAAGAAGAGCTTGGTGTCATTGGCAAAACAATGGACGTGAATGTTAAATTTACAGAAGATATTGCCAAGTGGGAGAAGGTAGATGATGAAAAGAAGGGGCTCCAGGACACAGAGGGGTACATCTGAAGTTTTAAGTGGTCATTGTGTAATAGCAGCTCTCAGAGAGATTAAACTTCCACAAACTAAGCACAGATTAATTCAAAAAAGGGATTTGAAACGATTTTGTGAAAAGTCCTTTCTCTGGGATTTTTCTCACTTTGACTGGCATCATATTCTATTAACTGACGACGTGAACTCTGCTTGGAACTATTTTCATAACAGTTTCATTTATTTTGTAAACAAACATGCTCTTTTTCACGAGTTCAGAAAAAGGATGAAACAGCCTCTGGTTTACTCCTAAGCTAGCAGACCACCTGCACAGGAGACACCAGCTTTGGGCCACAGCGAGAAAATTGGGCTCGGACATTGACTGGTTGAGTTTTCGACAGTTGAGAAATAAATGCACAACTTCCATCAAAGCCACAAAACGTAACTATTTCTAATCTCAGACCTCCAAAAATCTAAATGGCCCTAAAAGATTCTGGAAAACCATCAAATCTCTCTCAGGCAGCTCCAGATCATCTGACTTCCCATCACAACTTCTTGTTAACTCTGTTCCTGTGTCAAATAAGCACAAGATCCTGAACTGTTTCAACAAACATTTTGTCACTTCTAGTTCTTTATTTGACAGTTACTAATGGAAAATCAGCCACTTCCCCAAAAAGCCAAACTTCTACAAATCAAATCTCTCCTACAAGTCAATCTTCAGTGAGTCACACCTTTTCTCTTTAACCATTCTCAGTTAGTGAGGTTAATAAACTGTTAAAAGGTCTTGATCGTAAAAAATCTGCAGGACCAGATGAACTTCCACCTTATTTCTTAAGCCTGGCCGCTCATATCATCGCAGTCCCTATGTCCCACATCTTTAACCTGTCCATAAACCAAAACTCTATTCCAGACGCTTGGAAAACAACCTTTGTTCTTCCTTTACTGAAGGGAGGTGACCCCACCTCACTGAACAACTATCGACCAATCTCTAAACTCTGCATTTTAGCCAAGGTTCTAGAAAAACTGATGAACTCTCAAATCAAAAATTACCTGGACTCATTTAACATCTTACCTCACCATCAATCTGGTTTCAGGAAGCAACACAGCACAACCACTGCTTCACTGAAGGTTCTTAATGACATTGTTGAAGCACTGGATGCTAAGGATTATTGTGCTGCACTTTTCTTAGACCTGTCTAAAGCTTTTGACACCGTGGATCATAACATCTTGTGTCATAAGCTCTCAGAAATCGGTTTCTCAGATCACACCATTTGTTGGTTCTCTAACTATCTTTCAGATTGGAGGCAATGTGTTCAACATAATGGTACTTCCTCCAGTTATTTAACAGTCAGCAATGGTGTACCACAAGGCTCATTCTTAGGACCCACCCTCTTTACAATCTACATAGGTAGTGTAGGTCAGAGCATCCCTTATGCATCCTTACATTTCTTTGCTGATGACACTGTTGTTTATTGTCGAGCTAAAACAGTTGCTAAGGCTCTCCAGCTTTTACAATCCTCCTACGTCATCCAGTCAGACGTGCTCCGTCTCAAACTTGTCCTAAATGCAGAAAAAAACCAATGGGATGCTTTTTTTCAAACAGGAAGTCAGTCCCAGCATTTCTTCTTCTGCTCTCATCCTCAAATGGTGTCCCTATCGAGTTTGTCTATTCCTATAAATATTTGGGTATTTTGGTCGACTCGTATCTCTCTTTTAAGCTGCACGTGGAAAACCTAGTAAGAAAACTGAAAGTTAAACTGGGTTTCTTTTTCAGGAATAGATCCTGTCTAACTCTGAATGCTAGGAAACACCTTGTATCTGTGACTTTCCTTCCCTCCATTGACTACGGTGACTTTATTTACATGAACACTCCTACAAGCACCCTGCAGATGTTGGATGCTGTCTATCATGGTGCACTAAGATTCATAACTGACTGCAACTACCATACCCACCACTGCACTCTGTATTCACTGGTTAACTGGACATCATTAACTTCACACAGACTCTCTCACTGGTACATTTTCATCTTTAAATCCCTTCTTGGTCTGCTGCCTTCATACATCTCCTCCTACGTCTCTGTGTGAGTGCAGTTACAGCATGTGCTCTCAGGACATTATTACATGCAGTGTTCCCTCAGTGAGGACTGAACTAGGCAAAAGGGTCTTCTACTACGCCGCTCCTGTTTCCTGGAATATCTTACAAAAAGATCTGAAGCTCTCGACCTTGACCTCTAAAAGTGGCTTTAAGAATCTGTTAAGTTCCTGGCAAAAACCAATGAAGGCGATCCTGTTTTTAGTTTTCTACACCGCCTTATAATCTAGCTGTTTTGTTTTGGCTACTTTTCCTTTTGACTGTCCTTTTCGTTGCTATTTTGTTTTGATTTGGAAAGAAAAAAATAATAATCTGTATGCTTCTTTTATGACAGTCTATTGTTGTTGTTGTTATCTACTGTTGTCATCACTCTTTGTTAAAGAAATCAGGTCTCTCTTGTAAATGAGTCTCCGAGGCTCAAAGGGATTAACCTAAACTGCATGGGGGGGTGGTCCACACCATACTTTTACCAGTCACAAATATGTCCTATTGGATCATTTTCCACAATAAATAAATGACCAAGTATAATATTTTTGTCTCATTTGTTGAACTGGGTTCTCCATCTACTTTTAGGACTTGTGTGAAAATCTGATGATGTTTTAGGTCATACTTATGCAGAAACATAGAAAATTATAAAGGCTTCACAAACTTTCAAACAAACTTTCAAATACCGCTGTACATAAACATTGAGAATGGTTAACTTTCTTGTCACTTATTAAACAAACTCATCCTGGAGAGGCTCTGACAATCTATGCTTTCTCTTCTGACAGTGAAGTCTTAACTAATGAGAAAAAAAAAACCTTTAAACATGTTTCTGTCTGCAGACTCAAATTTAAAATAATCTGATTGGATAACTGTATTTTATAAGTAAATATTCTCGCTCAACTGCAAAGTAGTTTACAGAAAATACGAAAAATTAGCAACAACAAAAAAAAAAAAGAATAAAAAAGAAAACCATTGAAAATATACACTTTATATACAATAGATGTGCTGAATTTTTAGGCCTTTTCCGTTAAAGGTTCCCCACTGGTATAAATCATTACAGCTCATTGGGTGTGTGTTTTGCAGATGGAAGCTAAAGTTGTGATGGCAAAGCTGCTTCAGAGGTTTGAGTTTACCCTCGTTCCTGGACAGACCTTTGACATCAAGGAAACTGGTTCTCTGAGACCCAAGAGTGGAGTGGTTTGCACCATTAAACACAGGAAGTAAAAAGAAAGAAGGGGTGTTAAAACTATAAGTGAAGTCTCGCGTGTGTATTCCTGCTTCAGCCAGAATCTACTTAAACATACTTTGATTTTTTTTTAAATTCATTTACTGATTATTTTTGTAAACTTACATGATAAATGTATTCAGGGCATTGTTATGGTCCTGAAAAGTTCAGGAGTAAATTCATTCATTCAACCTCGGGGTGGGTGGGTTTTGGGTGTGGTGAGCGTCAGATTACATTTTCCAGGTGAATTCAGATAAGATGGCCTTCAAGGTCAGCCAAGGGAGCCAAATTCAGATAAACACACGGTTGTTTTGGGGACAGGCAGAACTTAATGACATCTACCTTGAGTTTGTGTTGGTCCAAACGGTTCTGAAATGTCCAAATTACATGGCCACTCCGATGGAACGTGCCTGAATAAAACCCCCAAGATCTGATCCATTCTGCCCAAAGCATTTGCGTATGGGTACTTGAGGCACAAACCAAGCCATCATAAAGGCAAGCAGCGTGATCGGGTCCAAATTTGCTGCCAACGACTTCCATGATTGTTGATAAAACCAGCAACCAGCCGAATCCAAAAAGCAGGAACCAGTTATTGTAAATCCAATTAAATATGTGTCCTTAAAATCCACAAATTGCAGCAGAGATAGACACATCATCAAGTCTTCAAGTCGATAAGATATCCAGCTGCGTGCATGCCAGCAGGGCAAATCGGCTCGCCTAAAGCCTGTCTTCTCTTTGAAGAAATGTTATCAGTAATGATGAGGGACCAACTGATCAAATCAAGTCCGTAATTATGGTTTGGAAGAAATGCAAGAGAGGCTCAGAAGCAGTTTCACAGACAGAGCAGCAAAGCAAAGCGGAGAGGGAGGGGAGGGGAAAGCGTCTGACCTCGGCAAGAGCAAGTGGTGAAGTGAAGTAAATTGCAGGACGCACAACATACGAAGCCCAGACGATTGTAATTTAGACCAAAGTTTTAATCACACATCACCTGAACAAAAACAACAAACTGGGAGCCCTGGTGAAAACAAACAACAAGAGGGAGAAGCCCTGAACCAGCCAACAGTTGACCGTCAGATTTGGGCCGCTCCTCTCACCCTATGATCCAAGAACTAACCCTACAAGCAAAAACCTTAAATACAGTGACAGCCGGTAACTCCCAGTCCCAACAACAATAATAAGTCAGCTCAATAATTCAGTGACAAGATGCAACTAGAGGTATTTGACAGGATCGGGAGTAAAAAGCCATCAACCATCAGAACAACATCACTCCTTCGCCTCCCTTGCTCGTCCAGGAGGTGGAGCTTGGCCCTTTTAAACCATCCTCAGCCAATCAGCTGTTCAGAGAGAGAGAGAGAAAATGAATGAATTAGACACACAATGACATGTCACAGGCAACCAGTCTGCTGGTTTTGACCAGTACTGACGGTGTCCACATGGGAGCACTGTGACAACTCCTGTTTTCTTTTTAACAGTTCAGTTGTCACATGAACAACTGTCAAGAGAAAAATAACCAAAAACCGATACTAAAAACATCACCTTTATTGGCTGCTAATTTAGGTCTAACATTATTCTTTTTGTAAATAGCTAGAAATTATTCATACAGTGAAAGGCCCTGAATTTAAAAAAGATTTTACCAATGTGAGAAAAGCAAATAAAAGAAATATAAATGAAAGATGTTGCGCTCCTTGAAAATTCCTCAAAGGAGTATCACTCAGCACGCTTCATGTCAGAGTGTAAAACTAACAGCTTATGTTGAGAAATGATGGATCTATTGTGTCTTTGGTAAAATCTGTTATGTTCAATGTCACATGATATGTTGAGGAGGTGGTGTAGCGCTCAGACTGGACTGTGAAAGACTTTCAGCTACAATCACACCAAATTTTTAGCTCATTGTCTCCAAAACAGGCAGAGTTATAGCCATTTTATTTTTTTAGTCTGAGATTAATGATTTTCCCATCGAAATATAAGGAGAATCATCTCTTATCCATTTCAATCCTTAGTGTACTTAAGACACAAAGACCTTACCAAGTACACAGAGAAGTGGTTCTGTTGACACCTGCTGACCTGTAGCAGCACTTACGTATGTCTGATCATACATTCTGATTAATTAAATACTGTTCACTGATTTATGAGGTGTTTTTCTAACAGTTATTGTATAAGTTTAAAGCAAATGTGTGTAATACTTAATGTTTATGTTGGAGATGATAAAATAACGTTTTAATTTAATTTTATAGTTTGGTGATGTCTGGTTATGTTACTAAATACATGCATAACACTCAAATATAGCAAACATAATGCAGGAATATTTATATGGAATTTGTATCCATGAATCTCACAAATCGACAAGAGTTCTTGTCTTGTTCATTCATGCAACCTTTATACTTTCATCGATTCGTCACTCCACAGCTGACCCCTCTTGTCTTAATCCCCTGCTCAGCAGTCTTTAATCAGTTTGAACCCATTTCCCTCTCATTTTTAAAGGATGTTGTTGGTCACATGAAACCCTCAGGTTCCCCTGCTGACCCCATCCCTGCATCAATTTTTAAAGAAGTTTTACCCTTGATCTGACCTTCTCTTCCTAATATTATAAACAGCAGTATGGCTACAGGTGTGGTTCCTGATGTTTTTAAACATGCAGTAGTAAATCCGTAAATTAAAAATCCTGGACTTGACCCTTCAACTTGTTCAAACTTCAGACCTATCTCCAAACTTCCCTTTCTTTATATCATCTTGGAGAAAATAGTTGTCATTCATTTAAATGAATTCTTGAATGAAAATTGTATTTTTGAGATTTTTCGGTCTGGTTTTAAGCAATTACACAGCACCGAAACAGCCTTAGTAATGGTCTGTAACAACATTCTTCTAGCAAAGGATTCTGGTCGGTTTGTGATTCTTGTACGTCTTGACCTTACCGCTGCATTTGATACTGTGGACCACAGTATCCTTATATTGCTGTTAGACCACTGAGTTGGGATTACTGGTGTGGCATTAAAATGGCTCTATTCATATCTGAGCAACAGGAGTTTTGGTGTTAATGTTGATAATAGTTTATCCGATTCAGTGCTTCTTTCCTGCTGGGTCCCGCAAGGCTCTATTTTTGGACCCCTTCTGTTTTCACTGTGTCTGCTTCCCTTGGGGCCTATCCTGAGGAAACATGCATTAATTTCATTATTATGCTGATGATTCTCAGATTTTTCTGCCCATAAAACTCAACAGCTCCTGCTTCATTCGCCCTTTGGTAAAATGTTTTGATGACATCAAGACTTAGATGTCTACAACCTTCTTAAGTTTTAATCAATCAACCTTTGTTTAGACAGGTAAATCCCATTAAGCCTCGAGGACTCATTTACAAGAGAGACCTGATTTCAACAAAAAAAGATGACAACAATGGACAATGGACAATGATCCGATTAATGATCAGCAACTGAGGTCATTGTGTTTAATCCTAGCTCTACCTCTGTCTCTGATCTTGTAAACCTGGATTCCCTTTAGCCATATCTAAATCAGTATGTTACCAATCTCAGGTGTAGCATAAAGTTGCACTCCTCTAACTATGACCCCTAACCTTGGGTTGTCTTCCAGACTCACCATGAATTGTTTACTTTAAAGTTAGATTTGACTTTAAGATTGTCTGGTGTTTTGCACACACTTTCCACCCTCGGACACAGAGATAACTAAAGTCTGACTAATGTTTACCTTGCTTTTCCTATGCTTTTAAGAAAGAAAACAAATCATTGATGAAGTTTGTTTTATTTGATTTACAAGTGTGAACAGGAATGGCTTTGATTGTTGTTTTCATTCATTATAATGAAATCATGTGAAATATTATAAAGTGTTTAACATGGTTCTCTCTCCTGTTTTTCAGAAAATAACTTGTTCCTTCAGAGACACCTGTTGTAAGTGTTCTTTGAGCTGGAACTGTTGGCTTCAGGGGAAGTCATAGTTCATAACAGTAGACAAAACAACCTTCTGAGAGCTGTTGTTTTACACAAAGTCTCTTTGTGTGACAAAGCAGTTTATGCTTGGACTCTCAAACCTGAGCGGTTTGACTTTGGACCCGATCCTGGTGGTCTTCCCAAGGTCCACTTGTTCAGTCCTAAGCAGATAAACATGTTGCTCAATTCCAATTTGCTAGAAGCAAATAGAAGTAACTACAGAAGACGAAGCGGTTTTCTCACTGCAAGGCTCACATTCTCGGCTTGAAGTCTAGCCTGCTGAAGGTTGCAATGGACAGCAACTTCTCATCAGCTGTTGCCCTCCCAGACCCCTGAAGTGGTCACAGTGACTTTTTTTTGCTGTCTTGGACAGTTCCTGGTGAGTCCTCCTCATGGTGTATCCTGGTCGGATCCACCAGAGAACCCCAGAAAGACGAGTGACCTGGTGCCCTCAACACTGACCCGATAAGGAGCAGAACCTGGTGACAGGATGCCCTGGTCTGGTTATGCCATTTATGCTGATGCAACTTGGTCAATCATTTCCTGGCTTGCAGTGATAATAAATGAGATCTTATCCGATCACATTCAATAGCTTCTTTTAATCAAAATCCAAAGTAAACTATTAAAATAGTCAAACTTTGTCTAAATTTGTGCGCGTTTAAAAACCAAAATAATTCCTGCTCAAAGAGTTAATTTTGCCTTAGATAGGAGAATTAAGCCTTGATTGATTAATTATTCTTGTTTGTATTATTGTTGTTGATTCTTTGATTATTTTTGTAATAAAATTTCAAAGATAACTTTGGTCTCTTCATTCAGCTGAATATTCATGTGTTATGGTATGGGGCTCCTGTAATTAAAGGATTCCACGTCAGTGACTGAGTTCTGCTTATTAAAGGGTGAATATATTAATTAAGTTGTTGCTGGTCAGTAAACAGACCAGCTGGTGCCCCGCTTTAACTAGTGACAAATAAAAACAAATATTGTGGAGTGTTGTGTTGTGGAGAAAGTGTTCCTCCATCTCACTTCTTAATTCAATTCAGTTTATTTATAAAGCGCCATGTCACAGCAGAAGTCATCTCAGAGCACTGAACAGAAACATTCATATATAAAAATAATAAGTTAACACTATTTATCTGAAGAGCAGACTGCTTTGAGTTTAACTCCATCACAGAACTCTCATCTTGAGCAAACATGAAGGCGACAGTGGAAAGAAAAAACTCCCTCATGAGGA